ACAGACCCTTCCTGCACCAGTATGGGGGCACCCATCCCAGTATGGACCCTTCCTGCACCAGTACGGGGAAACCCATCCCAGTATGGACCCTTCCTGCACCAGTATGAGGGCACCCATCCCAGTATGAATCCTTCCTATACCAGTATGGGGGCACCATCCCAGTATGAACCCTTCTTGCACCAGTATGAGGGCACCCATCCCAGTATGGACCCTTCCTACACCAGTATGGGGGCACCCATCCCAGTATGAACCCCCAAACTGCTGTAGGTTCACCAGTCCCAATGTGAGGCAATGCAAAACCACGAACGCTTGTGCAAAACACTCGAGACTGCGTGCACTCGTGCAAGGCTGTGCATGCTCATGCAAGACCATGCATCCTAGTGCAAGGTCGTGCGTGCTTGTGCAGGACTGTACGTGTCCGTGCAATGCTCTGAGCGTGCTGCAGGGCCGTGCAAGCCCTGCACGCTCTGTCCTGCGCTGCAGGCTCGCTAGATGTCGCCTCGCCCAGCTCAGAGCGGCTCCTACCCCGTTCTGTGCACCTCTGCTAAAAGCTCAACTCCAGGCTTCCCCCCGTCCCCCCAGAGCTCAAAGCTGCTGCTCCCAACACGGGGATTTGCTGCGGAGGGTTTGGAGGGGAGAAGCACCGCTGCAGATAAATTACCCCAAAACGCAGCGGTTAAGGGGGAAATTGCTTCTCACTGGCAGTTCTGAGGTTCATAGGGTTTCTCATGCTACTGCAGAAATTTGCATTTCTCAACTGTCCCTTCCTTCTCCTGCGTTGTCCCTTGGGGTTTATTTCCGCACTGAGGGGGGTGCTGATCCATCTGCATCGATTTATTGGGATTTTAGGGGCTTTGCACTTTGGATACACAGACAAAGGGGAAAATCCAACCTCCCCACTCCCCCGTTCCCCAATTATAAATGGGTGCAGAGGAGCATACAATTGGTTTGGGGGGGGGAGGAGAAAAAAACAGAATCAAAGCAGCTCATTCATCCCCCTCATCCCAAGCCCTGCATCTCTGGGACAGAAGCAGAAAAAGAAACGGACCTTTGGGGTCAGCCGATGCTCACATAACCCTGCAGAGCCTCTGCTGTGATCTCCCAGGTTTTTTGCTGCCCCACCAAATGTGTGGGCTGAATGGAAAATCAAATTCCTTCCCTTCATAATCACTCCAACCATAAAAATCAAATTTATGGCAAGAAAATATTTGTAACAACTCTGCGTTGCTTAATGGATCGGTTGTTCTCTTCCTCCTGAGAGCAACTGGCGTGAGGGAGGCTCCCTGCCTTGCGGTCCACACTAATTGCTTCCCTAATTGGATGAGTTGCTCATATCCCATCACCCTCAAGTGAACAGAGGATGGATGGGCTCTGCACAGGGCATTTTGGGGAGGGGATGGGAAGAGGGAAGCCTTCACTGAGCCACTAAAGGTGGGCTGAAAGGTGAGCTTAGCCCTGTAGCAGACAACAGAGAATCCCTACAGGAAGAAACTGCACTCAAAGCTATGGGTGAGAAACCTCGATGTGAGGTCCTGCCCGGGGGGTGCCAAACACTGTGAAGTCATGTTAGGGGACAGGTATCCTGGTTTAATCCCTTTTGTTCCAGTTTTAAAGGCATTTTCCCTTCAAAGCCAGTCTGGATATAGGGGACAAGTCTATCCCAAAAGCATGAGAGCCATCCCCATCCTTGTCCCTACCTCTATCCCAATCCCAATCCCCATCTCTATCCCTATAACCATCCCCAACTCTTTCCCATCCCTATCTCTATCTCTATCTCTATCCCTATCTCCATCCCTATCCATTTTCCCTTCCCCATCCCTATCACCATCCCCGTCTGTCTCCTCTGCCACAACGCTCTCCTCATTCCCCAAAAAAGTTCTATACGACCCAATTGTCTCTAATGAACTCTCATTTCTCCCCAGATCTTTTTTTTTTTTTTTTTTCCTCCACTGATTGGTCTCATTAAATCAATTTGAAAACATTCAGCAAAACACTTTCCCCACACAAATTAAAGCTGCTGAACTCGATGAGCGCAGCTGCAGGGCGGTGATTGCTGTCTGCTGTGCCGCCCGCGCTTGGGTTCGTTTTCTCTGGGGATTTTGGGTTTAGGGGACATTTGGTAAACCCTGGAACATCACAAAGGGACTTTCTCAATGCCTTTCTTGTCGCTTTATAAAATGTTGCTGGACAGGTTTTGGAAGATGGAAAGGGAGAAGCTGACAAATATCTGGAGGTTTTCAGAGCAGGGCTGTGAGGTGCCCAGAACATTGAGAGGTTTGGGTTGGGGGCTGCAGCGTGAGCTGAAATGGCTCAGATTGAATCCCTGTGCTGCAGGTTTGACTTGCATCATCAAAAAGGGGATCTGGGGTGGCTGAGATCAGTACTTATGATAATCAATACTTATGGCTGCTTGCACAGTCCCAGATACCTCCAGGACCTGCAGGGCAGCCATACCCCACCTCCAGGTCCCTGACCCCCAGTCATGTGAGGGCTTTGCACGGGCTCAGCTCATGTGCAGGATGTGGAGCCCCAGCTATGATAGGGGTGAGTGGAGACTGGGGGCTGCAAAGAGCCCTGACTGCTGGGAGCCCACACTGATCCTTGTGCTTGGAGTTGTGCTTGGGCACTTGCAGATGCTTCTGACTCTGGTTCTGGAGGAAGGGGATGAATCAACTCTCCTTCTGCCCTTAATCTGATCTAGGCATCAGAAAAATCCATGAACTCTCAAAGAGATGCAATCAGGGAGAGGAACTGCAGTCTGCAGTGGCAGCTCTTCTGGGTGTAATCGTAAAAATGGGAAAGGATGGAGACCGGCTCTGCAGATGCTGCAGGCGCATAAATGAAATGAATTTCACTTGCCAGGTGATGAATGCTCCCAGTACACGGTGGATTATTACTTAGAACTCCGGAAGGGAAGCAGCCTCTGAAGCACTGCCAGCTCTGTGGACAGAGCCATGTGACACCTGAGCTTCTAGAAGCCACCAGAGCAAAGGTGAACCACTGCAAGGATACCTGGATGTCCTCAAGAGCTGTTACAACAGTGAGATGATTTGCCTGTGACTTCTCGGGGGCACTGTTGTACTGGTGGAGTTTGCTCTGTCCGGTAAGCAGCTAGGAGGGAAGGCCAGGAGGAAGCAAAACTGCACGCCCCACCGCGCCTTCTAGAGTGCCTGTGTTCCCAAAAATGCCAGGCAGCAGAACCCCAAAAGCTCAAAGCAGAACCAGCAGCAGCTGCCCAGAAGTTCCTGGCAGTGCACGGGTCTCCCCACAAGGCTCAGGTGCGGAGCAGCACGGGCAGAAGCTGGACCGAAACGGGGGGGTGCCGCGCTGCCGCCTTTTGGGGTCCCGGGCCGGGCAGCCACGTGCAATTTCCCGCCAGCCCACACCACGCCCACAGTGGGCGGGGCTTAGCGCGTTTCTCGCCTTATATGGCAACGGTAGGCGGTGTCAGGGCGGATCCACCTCTTAGGGGGCGTGGCCTATGAGATGCCGCGTTGTCATTGGTGGGTGAGCGGGGGCGTGGCCGAGGGAGGGGGCGTGGCCGTGGGAGGGGGTGGGACGCGGAGCCGGCGGTTCCCGTCAAAAGGCGGCTCCGGGGCGGAGGGGGAGGGAGGGGGTGGCAGCGCTGGGAGTGCAGGTAATGGGTGCTATGGGGACTGGGGAGGGTGGGCTCTGAGTGCTGTGTGTGGTGGGAGCAGCCTCGTATCGCTGTTGGAGCGTGGGGGAGGAGTTGTGGTGGTTGCTGGGGGGCTTGCTTCTATGGGGACCTCTTCATTATAGAGGGGGATTCCCTAGCGCTTCCTGTGGTTACAGCAGCCTGGAGTCACCCCGTGGCACTCTCAGAGCTTGGGGGTACTTGCACTGGTGTTGCGTTGCCTCCCAGTCTCTCTGCTCTTGCTCTGGGGGTGCTCTGTCCTCCCAGATCTGTCCCCGTGAAGCACTGTGCACCCCTGCCTAGTTTAGGGTCCTGTGTGAACCC